AAAAATCTTTGTGCATTTTCCTTTTCAAGTGCCAAAAGCAATCACTAAAAAAAGTCAGGGGGTCACCGGGTTAGTTTTCGAATTATTTAAGCCACAAGCTAAAAAATGCGTCTCAATAAGCCTATGAAAGCGTTGCCATGGAAACTGCTGGTGACGAAATGATGCCTATTTTTGGATAACCAACTATTATATAATTCAACCCCGTAAAAGTGTTTAACTGGCCTTGGTTAGTCTTTCTGTTGTATTCTTTCAAGTTACAAACCATCAAAAAGATGAAAACCGATACGAGCCACCTTAAGCCATACCGCAATCCCTCCTGTACAAATTTGTCAAATTGATTCGAGCTTGCTTTCTTTTGCGGTTTTCATGAGCAAAGTTCATTTGCCTCTACTCGGGGCACTGATTTCCGCCATTTCACGGCTACCGACGCTCGTTTCAGTTTTGGTGAATTTTCTAGGATTAAGAAGCAAGTCTGGYGAAAAAACCTCACCACGTTTCTAAGCTCACTATAATGTATCGCTGGGCAAAATATGAAGGTTTTCAATTTTTCGATCATGTGCCACATTTTTCGATCTTCACTTGGTCAATTCAAAGATACGCTCTTGATTCCGCATCGTTCAACTCATGTTAAGAATCTACGTTTTAAACTTAAGGTCCGTTTAACGCGTTTACCTTATTTCCTAAGAGCTAACAAGTTCGACAAAATAAGAAATGCTGAAAATAATAATTTAATCTTTGTGCTCCAGCGTCATTAAATTGCGGCAGGTTTTACAAGAAATAAATATTGAACACAATGAAATAAATCATGGTTAATTAAATGATGGTATCTTAAATCTGTGAAATAATGAAATAACGTTCAATTTTCATCAAATTGGAGAAGCTGAGTCACAGTTTAAGTTCCTCATAGCCAATTAGTTTAAATCAGTCTCAATATTCCAGCACGGGCGGCGGCAATCGAGCGCCCAGCCTTTTACTCCCAACCACTCACTTGTTTTGCTTGCTTTTACCCCGTGTTGCTGCGTGGCTGACGCTTCTCTCGCGTACCTCAAGGGAAAGGATAGCTCAAGGATAAAGACTGCTGGGAAGGTCATAGCCATCTCCATGTTTTTAAGGCTTATTTTTACCATTACTACCGGGAAAGTAGTATGGTTTTCTTTACGCTGATGCCAAACGCCTGCCTTAAGATCTATTCAGTATTCAGTGCGACACAAACCTTGTAATTCCTGGGCGTGTAGTTTTTAAAGGGACTTACTTGTAGAATCGAATCCTTGTGACCCTACCGACGAGGGGGAAAGCAGTTGTTTAACTGGACACTCACTTCCAGTTTGCATTAAATCGCTGTCTTTCGCGTTGCAGTCGAAAGATTCTTCCAATTGAGTGATCTAATTTTTTTTTTTAATAATGTTCCGATTTCGTCAGTTGTCATTGTAAGATCTACTGCACGCGGCAATTTAGAAGTTATGAAGTGAAAAAAGCTTTTAAAAACAGATTTCTTGATTGCAAAGTGACAAGAAAAAAGGCAAAAGTGTAAAGGTGGAGTTTCTGTAATGTTCATTGATAACATTCATACCTACTATAAAATATACTTATTAGAGAAAACAAAATCACCGGTTGTTCGTTCTTTGCAAGACCAGGAAACTTTCAAGCTTCTTTGAAAACGCTATCAACTAACCGCTTTATTAGCCGTGTATTATAATTTGGGGCTGCGGAAGAGGGTGAAAATGTATGGAAGTAAATTTCAGCAAAACCTTACCTGCGCCCCTGACATTGAAATATGCAACTTCAGAATGAGCAAAAGCGCAAACACGACGGGAAAAACTTTACCACGAAACATGGCACGAGTTCTGTTCAAGCCGGTGGCAAATTTGATATGTCAGACACTGAGGGAAGTTTTTCGTCTTATGCAATATGTGATTGCAATATGCAATATGCAATATGTGATTGCAATGAACAAAAAACAAAATCCCTCTTCTGAGAACTGCTATTGAGCTATTGAGAAGCGAAACTAATCTAATTAAATACTTTCATATAATGCGTCGCGGGAGAGAAGATTCGGTTAAAAACAGCACGATAAGGATATAAGTATTGTAAGTTTCCAATATCAATTTTATCGGTTGGTTGCTTAGATAATTATATTTTTTTAGTTTAGTTTTTAGAGCTCAGTGTGCGAATCGAGAGATTTTCTAATTGCCTTATTGCTTTAGTTATACTTTGAACAACAGATTACCTGATTTTGGAACAATTTCAATATATCAACAAAGTTGAAATGGTAAATTGGCCACCGTTACGATTAAAAAAGCTGAAGTTTCGAGCGTTAGCCCTTCGTCAGAGCGAATAGAGGAATTGTGGGTTGTTTGTGCTTTTAAAGGCAGAAAATGGAGCTACGTGATTGGTGGGAACATGGTAGCGAGAAAAACAGGAATAAATTAGTGGAATTTATTCCTATTTTTCTCTTTTTTTATTCCTGTTTTCCTCGTTCCCATGTTCCCACCAATCACGTAGCTCCATTTTCTGCCTTTAAAAGCACACACAACCCACACATATCCTCTCTTCGCTCCGACGAAGGGTTAACGCTCGAAACGTCAGCTTTTATAATCGTAATGGTGGCCAATTTACCATTTCAACTTTGTTGATATATTGAAATTATTTCGTTACCCCCATCGACGCAGCCCCAAACAGTTTCTTTAGAAACTATCAGCCTTTATTCATTTGATTTTGGAACAGTTCCAGTGGGTTAACAGTAACTAAATCATAGCTTTCTATCGCTTCCAGTAAGGACTGTCCTTAAATTAAAAAATCCTCAAGGTCAAAATTCTAATCAGGATAGGTGTTTCTGATTTGCATGATTTGTATAATGGTTGCCCTGGGTGATAGTGGTTAATTACCATAGAGAACACGCCCCTGATCAGCAAGTGTTAGCTGTTTCAGTGTGTCGGGTTTCAGATCGCTCCAAATCTCAGCCAGTTTCGAGCTAGTAAACTCTTTCCCACTCACACAGCCCTTACTGGTTTAGTTTATTGATCTCTAACTAGCGCCAGCGTCTCGTTCGGTTAGTGAATAAACTGTGTTGCCCAAACGTCGTAGTCTGTGTTTGATATCAATAGTAATTGTTTTGACTTCCGTGAGGAACTTGTCTCTAACATTTATCAATCTGTCATAGATAAAATCCAGAAAGTAATTTTTTAGAACATAGATTCAGTCCCATTAATTTACAAATAAATCGGATGTGGCTACCGAGCTAAAAATATTGTTGAGTTTCGCCTTGTTCTCCGAACGTTTTGAGAATAGTATATTCATATTATTCTAGGCTTTTGAAGCTAACAGCCCAAAGTGCATGAAAGAACAAAGGGGCCCTTTCATACTGATTTCTTGTTTGATTCAAAAGTTTTCAAGATAACGAAGAGCCTGCCTTGTAATTTTGTGTCCTACGAAAACGCTAGAACAAGATTGTACTCAACTTCTCCCTTAATGTATCCAGAAATTTTCCACCAAATTTGACCTTTAATGTCGACCATTGTTATTTAAAAAAATTGATTCATTCGTGACAGCTTTTTTTCGACTCACATATTCCATGAGTGATTCGCCGCTAGACCCGACACTGGTAAAACATATTCTCGTTGGCGCTCGACTTTCCTTCAAGGTAGACAAAAACAGGATAGAAAGAACACGATTATTTCGGATAGCAATTACAGCAGATTAATTTTCAGGTGTAACCGTATTTTTATTGAAGGAGGGTAAATATATAGAAAGATAGTTTTTCCTTCTTCTTACATGTAATTCTAACTTTCTTTTCTTGTCTTAGAAATTTAAAATGCTTAGGCCAGGCATGTGTCAGAATTCTACAAAGATTCAGACATCAGCTGCAGGTCCCTCCATCTTCTTCGGCAACAAAAATGAAATAAAGGTGATTTGTATTTTGTTCCCTAGCCACTAAAGTCGAGTAAAAATTTAGAGGCGAACGTGCCTTTATCTCATAAACACTTAAATTAAAACTAAAGCTGGCTGACAGTTACTAAAAGGGGCAAAAGCAATCAATATTTACTTAGGAATAGTGGAGAGTGAAGACTGAATAGGTGAAAAGGATGTTCGGTACATGAGACTTCTCGTTAATTAGTTTTCAGTGATATGAAATCGAGAGTTATCTCTTCACAAACCTCCGTCATAAACTCGTGTAAAATTAGCCTGTGGCTTTGCTCTTTGTATGAGCGAAAATTTAACGGGCTGTCAAGTTAAGAAAGGCTGATTAACTTGAATATATAAGAATAACTATGAATATAACTTGAATATATACGAATAACCATTAGACCCGCTATTCATGAAAAGGGTATGCTCCTGCATGAATAATTTATTGCATAGACATGAATGAATAAACAATAGATCATTTATATTTTATACTGAACGAAAAAAGAAACATATCTGTAGTAAAAGTATACAGTATACGTGGAACAAGTAATGGGAAATCATAATCTTTTAACAATCTTAAACTTAAGACACACTGTGGTAGGGATAGTTTGTTGGTCCTTGTAGTGTAAACGGTAGGTTTTAGCAATTTTAATTAGTCAGTTCTGTAGGTTATTAAGAACGTGTTGTTAAATTTGTCCTCAAGTCATTTTAAATCCAAAACTATGAATAATTAAACTAATCAGTCATTACTGTACATACCGCCAAAGTATCGTCAGGATTAAAAGATTCTTTACTTTGCATAAATCCGCTCTGCGCAAACGGCTGACTTTATTTGGAAACCGTAATGATTCGATTGCGCGCCCAGAGGAGTTATTTATATTTGGCTCCTCAGTGAAGGGCGCTTATTGGAAACAGGGCACTTATTAGTAACAGGGCGCTTATTTCTTTTTAAAGAAACAGCAGAGGGTGAAACAAAGCTTTGATGTTTATGGAAAATGGACTTCTTGTCCCTAAATCCTTCCTTGTCATAACAACTAGCCAAGCAATCATCGCAAAACTTTAATACGGGATTTTTCGTTTGAAGGAACTGTGCACTCACGCGAACATATTAGTCAAGGGACTGCGAAAAGACGACTGTTTTTGTAATGATGCTCTAACTAAGCAATTAAAGGAAGATAAACCAATGAGCATCTCAGTGTATATGTACTCTAACAGTGCTGAAAAATATATTAGGGGGCGTCTATCGGAAAAAGGGCGTTTATTCGCACAGAGGCACTTATTAGAATAAGGGCGCTTACTCTTTCTCTTTTCTGGAGATAGCGCTGAAACTTCGGGTTTCGATCTAATTTAGAAGCATAGTTTTTGTACGTAGAAACGGTAGGGTAAACCAGGCAGTAGAGAATGCAACTGTTTCAGCGCAAACAGGGCCAAGATCGATACCGGCAGGTGTCATAATGTTGCCTGACAAACGTTATCTGTAGTGATAACGTTCTTTTTAAGCTTATATATAACCAAAACAGGTAAAGAGTCAACTGCTTCGATCTCCCCTTAGTTGCGCCATGGATAGAGTTTGAATGGTCCACCAAATGATTTCACACTCTTCCAAACACGCCAAAAGAGAATTTTTTGACACGATTACCTTCACCCACTTATCGTTTGGCGGTATAAAAAAATGATTGAATATCTCAGCTGTTGGAAAAAGTACCTTTTTAACGTTATCTCTGATGAATACGATTCAAAGAACTTGATCACTATCAACTACAGCTTGCATAAATAATCCAACTGACAGTGCAACCCTAATTGTATCTTTGTAATCCTATGAATGGTAAACTAAATAACTTCAACTTTTCCCAGACATGCAATAAGAGGAACCCAAATATTTTGCACGAAAAGTCGTTTTTTTTTCACTGTTAATGAGCGTGAAAGAATGAGAGTGTAGTTGTTATCCTATCGTTCTCAACTGAAGAAATGTAAATGTTGATTTTCCTCTCTTCAAATGATCGTGGTAGTTATGCGTCAAAAAAATGTTTTTTTTTCTTTTATTCACACATTGATTTGCATTTCTGAACCTCTAATCATCAACACTATATATAGCGCCACCTCTTCTTATCGCACTTTAGTTCCCTTGCGAGCCAAGTGCGGTGCGTATATAAGGTATGGTCAATTCTATCTTTTTTTTTTTCCCTATTCTAGCTCCTCTAAGCGCAAAAAAAAAGAGCGCCTTAAAGCTCTATTTTTTTTCTGAAAACTGAGAGAGGAATTCCACATTTAGGAGGCCTGAACAGGGGCGTAGCCAGGATTTTTCAAAGGAAGGGGGGGTGGGTCACAGAGGCTACTCACCAGATTGTCATGTCGACCTCCACGCCGTGCATGTTTTACTTCATGTTACAGTTTTGGAATGAGCAGTGAGAGTATAGTGGGCAGGCCAAGATATTGTCATGGCCTTTTCACCACCTGAATATCGTAGGGTTGTTTGCTCAAAAGAAGGCTTACCAAGGGGGGTCACGGGCACCCCAGGAGCTCCCCCTGGCTACGCCCTTACTGAATGGTATCATATGCAATTCTTAATTCTTAAGCTTTATATTCAACATTTCAGGTATCTATTATTGCAATTTAGTTTACGAACTTTGCGGGCCGAGTGCAGTGCATTTACAATGTACGATCAATTTGACCCTTTTTATTCATCATTTTAGAAGTTTATTTGCTAAAACGGAGATCCAAATTAAGGAGGCCAAAATTGAATTTTTTTCCCCTTTAAGCTTTAGTTATATCTTCCCAAAAGATCAATACAATTCTAAGGCGTTTTAACCTTACAAAATATCAGAAAATATTACTTTGTTAACAAAATACAAATATAAACAACACGAGAATTGTGAATTCATTAGCACATGAAACTCTACCTTTTATCGTTCAATGGCGCTTTGAGGTGAGAGGTTGAATAACGTGTGGATGGCAACATGCAAGCGTTTGATGCCAGTTAACATAACCCTCCTAATTACATATTCTTTTGCTTGTTTGTTTTTTATTAAATATATTAATCAGTAGTTTCACTAGCAACCTTTGTGGCTTCCCTTGGTGTTGATGTATGGGATCCCATGAAAATGGGTTCCCACTCCACTGATGACCAATCTCGTGATCAGTGGGTAAAAAAGGAAAAAAGTGTATGCAAGGGTGGGCATGTGTATGTAAAATGAACATAAAAGTTAGGTGTTTAATTTGAGGAAGCGACTTCTGTAACAACAGCACGCTCCTAAACTCAATTTAAAAATTTAAAAAATAATTATATATTATATTAATGAAATAATATAACAACACGAAAAATGTGAACCTTTTATCGTTCAATGGCGCACTGAGATGAGAGGAGGAATAACGTGTAGATGGCAACCTGCAAGCGTTTGATGCCAGTTAACATAATCGTCCTAATTACATATTCTTTACTTTATTAGAGATATTTGAAAAATTATTTCCATTTTGCTCATTGGCCTATACTTCATAACATTTCAAGAGACGTGTGAAGGTGCCTCAGGTCTAAAGATGATTAAAAAAGACCTGAAGAAAAGAGCTGGCAAGTACCATTTCATTCCTACTTACGCATATCGTCATCGATACTTTACCTTTAAAACTCCTTGGGGCCAATTGAAAATGCCATGGCTAGACATCTGTGACTGCAGAGGAGGGGGAAAGCAAGCGATGAAGTTGCTCCTCTAGGATCCCCTCTGGGTTTTGGTCATTGCCTCATTTAGAGCATTAGGCTCTAACATGCATTCTACGAAAACCTCATCACCACCGAGATTGCCTGGCATATGTATCTATTGTTTTTATGTGTCCTTGTTATAGAAAAACATTGATGTGGGATTTGCATTCCTTTTAAAGTTTGCACTGAAAGCCAAATGGACAAAAGAAGGGGATGTCCAACATGGAAAGAGAGAGGATTCTGCGCTCACAATAGTGTATACTATAACTTTATGATGAAAAACTGCTACGCAAGTTGTGGCCTTTGCCAGCGTGAGTAAAATTGTATTTTAAGGTATAATCCAAAACAGATAATTAGCTTGACTGCCAGGATGATGCTGATGAGTGATATTAGTCTGGTGATGTAAAGATACCGAAACGATTAAAGGAATTAAAATTTTAAACTCATTTGACCCCAACTGTCATCTTCGTTTGCCTTCTAATCAAGAAACGTTCTTTTTCAGTACGTCCAACGGAAGCCCCAAAAGGGGAGAATCTACTAATACAGTTACATGTAACAAAAAAATGTAAATTTCATCATAACAAAAGAGTTGAAAGTGAGAAAATAACCAGGCTCCTGTCAAGAGTCGCACTAACTAGTGGATAGATTTTTTAAGCAGAGCTCTCAAAGAGAAGCCCTTACCTAAGAAAATATGGTGACTTATCTATGGTTTAGCAAATAATTTTGGTTGCGCGTTCGTTTATTCTTCAGAGCGCAAGCTGTATTTTGCCTGCACAGCAAGCTGTATCGTCGTCCAAGTGGAATAACGCATGTAACACGATTTTTATTTGTCTTCTAAGAAAAGTTTCAGTTAAATGAAAGGCACTAAAGATTGAAAAAACAGAATTCAAGTTGAAGGCTTGACTTAGTCTACATCTGTTGATATCTTTCTTTTTGCCTTTGGTAACATACGAACTTATTTTCAACAGCGTGCACAGCCAAAGAGATGGACAAAAAGGGCAGCTTCTGCAGCTCGTGGAAAAAACAAATTGGATGTTCCGGTGGCTACGAACAATTTATGAAAGAAAACTGTTACGCAACATGTGGTTACTGTATAAGTAAGTGGCAGTATGTAGAAAGAGACAATATGACCAAAATATTTTGGGCGGTTTGGAATAGAGAAGGTGCCCAGGGGAAGATTCTGAACCTAATTTTTTCTCAGTTTTTAATCATTTTGGAGAAACATAGTTTCGCTGTTTTAAACACTCGCTCGGCTCTCAGTACATTTTCAGGGAGTGTGGTACGAGAAATGACGTCCAGTAGAAGTGGGGTCTAACCATGTTTTAAAGAGTTTTTGTGTTAACTTTTTGGGGAAATGTCATTCGCTTTGTTCCAAGAACGAGCTGTTTGAAGTTGAGTTATTTTCGCATAGCAAAGAGTCTCCATTTAGCCACATCCCAAGAAATGCTATAACACCTGTTTGATATTTTGCTGCAGTGTAGAAGGTCTATCCCTGGTTACAAGTTAAGGAAAAATGTTATTGGGATTATTAAAGAGAACAAACCCGAGCCACCCCAACTGTACTGTATCACGGTAAGGCCATTAAGTAAGCGAACATCGCAGTGTGAAACAGCTGTACCTGTCACCATTCGACAGCCGTTCTGACAGCCAATATGAGTCCTATTTCATAGTAACTTAGTGATGTGTACGGCCATGTCTTAAAGCTTACTTTTCATTATCATTCTTATTATTTTTGCCAGTGGCTCCCACACCAATTCCACATGGTAAGTCTTAACGATCAAACTAGACCGATATTAAACCATCCAAAATGCCGACAGAGAGATGAAAATTCCCAAATTAACGCAAATTTCAACATAGAAAAAGACTTACAGCCAGGGAGACAACAGACAGTCACTCAAGAGTCAAAAGGCGAGCAAGAGGGGGTTGCTAAAAGACAGTCCAACGGACAGCTTGATAGACGAACACGCAGAAATATAAAAAGACAGAGGCACCAACAGGCAAATGGATATACAGATGGACAGACAAATGGCTCAGTTTGGAGACACACCATTCTCAGCTAGACAGACAAGGGATGATACACAGTCACCCAAATATACGCTGTAGATTTAAAGGCAGTCCAACACACTATGGAACAGGTCTTGCCTGACAGCCCCCGATTGCAGGAAAATAGGGACCTTAAGAAACCACGACGGCGACGCCAAGGAAGACTTCGATTAAAAAAGGAATTTCTACTCCTAGTTAGAATTTCAAAAATGGGTTGAGTTTCAAATGGAAGTTAAAATAATTTGCCGTCGCGCTTTCGGCTCGCAGACGACGCAAATTTTGGCGATTTCGCGTTGTTGTTTTGCATAGGACGGCTCAGAAATGTACAAAGTTTCAAAATGCACGTGCTGAGCTATTGCTCTGCCAATTAGATCTCTTGTTTTACCACGTCCTCGTTGGCGTCGCCGTCGTGGTTTCTTAAGGTCCCTAATAGTTTTCTTAACAACGGTTGAATAAAGGTAGATGATCATTGCTAATGTCTGTTATATTATTTTGATTCAAAATATTTTTGTTTCTAACAATGAAGTGGACCCAGATGCCTGTCTCCAAGCCCACAATGCCAAGCGGGCTCTTCATGGTGCGTCAGCTTTGGTGTGGGATGACAAGCTGGCTCAGGATGCGAAAAGCTGGGCAGATCACCTGGCTTCTATTGGATACTTAGTCCATGCCCAGAACATTGACGAAGGAGAAAACCTTTTCTCGAGCTCGAGCGGGTTTGTCAGTTCCTGTTCAGATGCAAAGCATCGTTAGTGAAGTGAACTAAACTGTGCTCCGAAGCCAAATGTACGTTCAACTTATCGTCAATGTTGCTCTTGCAGGTTGTATGGAAAAGCACCACTAAAATTGGTGCAGCTCTGACCAAAATAGTTTCAGATAATGGGATGACACACACGTTTGTTGTGGCGCGCTATTCGCCAGCAGGGAATGTTCAAGGCCAATTTGCTGCAAATGTGAAGCCAAAGTCCTCATAGGTTTGTGCATTCCATTGCTAGCATGTGGAACATATTTAGCTATATACAGGTCTTACGAGCGTAATAATATGATGGAAGTACTTCTTTTATTCAAGGAAATCTGATAAGTCCAAGAGTAAGTCCGGGCGGGAGAAAACCGTTTTGGTGAAAAATGTTGCAAAGTTCGCCACATAACGACTACTTTATCGGTATTTTTTTGTTTTTGTTATTCTTTTTGAAATCTAGTTGGTTACTTGAAAGAATCCCCCTCATTAAGTTATAATTGGTCGTTTTGTTTTTACCTCCTCATTGACAGAAAATAGTTACAAATTTAGGAGTTTCATGACATTGGTTCCGGTAGTCTTGCTGTAATAATATCTTCTTCCAACAGCTTGAGAGGTACTGACACATTCTAGAGATATATGATGATGGTCAATTTGTGTTGTTTTTTTTTTTACAATTTCAGATCTCACTAGTCTGCTTAGAAATAGATGGATCTCATGGAAGATGTTAATGACAAATAAATTGTAATAGTTGCTGACGAAAGGATAAATAAAACATAGTAGCAAGAGGGTCTTCAAATATTGTCTTCTCTGTCGTGTCAACAAAGCGATAATCCTTTCCCAAGTTTATCACAAAACGTGCATGAATGGAATCAAGCACTAACAAAATTTGCAAACAGCCGGCTACTTAGCCATCATTGGAGAAGCAAATCTATGGAGACTGCCCGCCTGCGAGCAAAATCAATCCCTTTTAGAAATGAGATAGAACTCTTTTTTCCTAGGGGCTCTTCCAAGGAGATCATATTGGTTACAGTCATTTTTTTAAAGTGAATCTTATCTGGGTACTGTGCGCTTTCCTGGGGACTCTAATTGATCAGCCCCATGCGGGAATTTAAAATATGATCCTTGGCAAAGTTATTTCTTTCCATGTTTATGAAATTATATTCCTGAATGTCTACTTGATGGTTGAAAGAGTGAGGGCTCTCTAGATCTCACCAGTCTCAGACTTGTTGGTGGGGCCTTATAGGATTTATTTTTAAATGTTTTTAAAAATAATGTACATGTCATGAAGTGCAACTGCCGTAGCAAACATTATACTGTGAGTTGTTATAGCTCACCACTAAATTTCCTCCGATTCTTATTGATTTAGATCAATCACGTGACGCGATAGTGTTCATCCTTGCAGAGACACAGTGTCCGTCCGCGGAAAATAACGGGAGGGATAGTGCTCGTCCGCGGAAAAATAAATACCCGGATGGATAGTACTCATCCGTGAAAAATTTTGAATGGTTTGACGGCCGCGAAGTTAGGCAGATCGGAGAAACAGTGACTTTTCAATTCTGGTTGCGAGTTATTGACATTTGTGACAGGCTGTACGCATGAATAAATATTTGATTGCTCTACCTTTTTGGTGGGTTTTGACTGTTTTTCAACTGGCGCGCGGAAGAAAATTTAGCGGTGAGCAATAAAGACAATATATTGTTTGTCTCGGAACTATCGGTCTGATAGTTGCCCCTTGGAAATTTTATGTTCTTAAAACTAGCATATGTTTGTCTAGCATATATTTTTTGATGTTCTTAAAACTAGCAAATATTTGTTTTGAGAACATCAAATTTCCGCGGGGCAAGTATCAGCCGATAGTTCCTCGACAGAAACACTCTATTGTTTAAATAGTGCCCGTCCGCGGAAAATACCCGGATGGAGAGTACTCATCCGTGAAAAATTATGAAAGGTTTGAAGTTAGGCAGATCGGAAAGACAGTGACTTTTTAACTCTGACAGGTAAGCTAAAGTCTGTTTACGAGCCTAGTAGCCTATTAGGCCGGTGTTTAACTCCGGTTTCTGTAGCGTGAAGCGACTAGGAGTATTTATACTCCCCCCTGGATGGGATGCCAGTCCATCGCAGGGTTACCCCCCCAGCATTAAATTTGCCGGTACCCATTTATACGCCTGGGTGAAGAGAGGCACTGTGAGAGTAAAGTGTCTTGCCTAAGAACACGACACAATGTCCCGGCCGGGGCTCGAACCCAGACCACTCGATCCGGAGTCGAGCGCTCTATCCATGAGGCCACCGCGCCTCCAATTCTGACAGGTTTAACCAATGTACGGCAGGCTATACGCATGAATAAATATTTGATTGATCTGCATTTAGTAGGTGTTGACTTTTTTCAACTGCCGCGTGGGGGAAAATTTAGTGATAAATAATAAAGACAATAGAGTTTCTTTAATATTAGAATGTCTCGGAACTATCGATCTGATAGTTGCCCCTTGCAAATTTGATGTTTTAAAACTAACACATTTGTTTGAATTTCTGCTACTTGGAACCTTTCGAAATAATTTCTAGGGAAAGTGTATTAATGTCGAGCTCGTTAAACAGCAATCAATTCTTTTAAGAAGTGCATAGACCAGAATGAAAACGTTTCTGTAATGATTACAAATTCCTTGACGAAAACCTCAACATTTACCAAAAGAGTTAATAGAGAAAACTAATTTCCCTTTAGCAATGGAAGCACCCGAAGGGCAGGTAAAAAAACATTTATGTGGTTCGCCATTATGTGTTTACTCAATTGCGCTCGTGTTGAGGCTTGCATTTGCATATTTCTGAAAATTGACCAAGATATCCTTTGACCGTTCAAACTTCGTTTCTTTATCTCCCGCGTTGAGGGGTATAGGTTTTCCTAACAATTGGATGGAAAAGAGATCCCGAATTGTCCTAAAACGATGCACTCGTAATGCTTGCATGACTTGTAAAGTGAATAAAGAGGAAGGCGCTGTCCATACAGGTGGTCTAGCCAAAAATCAATTTTGGCTTGTGGCGACGCAAGGAAAAGAGAATTGGAGAACAACCAAATGATCATTGAAGCATGTGTACAAAACCCTTTTCACGGGAAAAAAGTAAAACTTTTTTGAACGGCAAGTCGAGAGGACCGCTCTAGCGAGAACGGCACTTAAATATTAGTCCTGAAATACTATCTAAGGGCCTATGAATACCGATCAGATAGGTCCATTTGTAAAGATAGATACTTTTCTCATATACTTTTACAGATAAGAACGGTCAATTCTTAATTTGTAACCAAAGCGATAAGTAAACTAACAGAAAACTCTAAAAAAATTGCTTTGTACGTGCTGATACAGTCTGAAACTTCTTCCCATCTGTACATGTGCAGGCCAAGGGGCCGAGGCAAATGATTTTTGAGACAATTAGAATTGCACCGCGTTCGCCCCCTATCGAGTTCGCCCCTTCGAGTTCGCCCCTTCGAGTTCGCCCCTTCGAGTTCGCCCCTTCGAGATACCGTGTTCGCCCCCACACTTTTCGAGTTCGACCTCATCAAGTCGAGTTCGCCACTTAATTGAGTGATGTCCATATAAGTTGATTTCTGACGAAGGCTCTAGCAGAATGTCAGCGACGACCATTTTGAGTTTCGGCAATTGCGTGGAATCTGCGGGGGATCTGGGGTTACCAGAAACAACTGTATGCAGTGAAGTTGTCATAAAGGCAACCACACTTAAATAAAAACAACTTTGCTTAACTTATTATTCGGACTGGAAAAGATGTGAAACAACCTCGGTTTATTTAACGAACACGAAATGTGTTGATCATAACAACCAGACTTGAGAAGATGCAAACCACGCTTTCATCGCATTGTGTTGATCATAACAAAAAGACTTGAGAAAATGCAAGCCTCACTTCAAACTTCACGACACATGGTGGTGGTGGTGGTCTGAGCCGTCGTTCCAACAGATCTCCTTTCTCTCAGAAGCATTAGTTGAGGAGGGTGGCATGCTTTCTGCGGTGGCTGATCAAGCCTATACGTGAACGGCAATGACGCTGGCAGTCTGGGCACTGATTGGGAGAGACAAGCTCTTAAATGTCCATAGTGGCGCACTGCCTGCCTTGTTAGCGTACAGGGATTTGAACGTCGTCGCATCGAACTGCTTCAGGAAACTCGCATAGCCCGACATGTTGTGTTTGATTCATCATCTTACAGATCGTTGTCGGACTAATTTGTGTTTGATTAATAATCTTATGGGTTTATGTCGGACTAATTTGATGACTTGCTCCCAGTTGGCTTGTAGAGCGCTGCACTAGTATTGCAGAGGTCAGTGGTTCGAATCCCGTACGAGCCTCAAGTTTATCAGGTCTGATTTTTCAATATTGCTTAAATATTTTCAAAACGATCCAGAGACAAGCACTATCTTTTCGCAGTCTCCGCTCATTTCATTCAAACGCGACAAAAACATAGGCAATTTTTTGGTCAGAAGTTCCATTCAGACTAATGACCAACCAGGCACTTTTAAATGCGCTCGTGCACGATGCAAAACGTGTCCTTT